GATGAATAAATTTGCATATAACTAGAAACAATAAAACAGGACATGATGTCAATTTACACTCTACAATAAAATTGTTAAGCCCTAGCACAAGCTGTTTCCAGATGACTGTTTCAGTTTTAAAAATACAGTACCCCGAGCTGATTTTTTAGAGAAATAGGCCGAGCTCACCTATAGTTGTGCTAAGGAATAGAAACCACAAAAAATTACATTTTTACAAAAGTACAAGTTTGATGTTGTAAACCTACAGACAAAAAAATGATATTTAAAACCAAATACCTTAGTGTACTTTATGGCAGGAGTCTTATGAGGCTTTGGTTCTGACATTTTCAAAAATGTATTCACAAAAGAGAGATGTATTTTAGGATTAACCACGTCAGGAAAACACAGGTCACAACTGAGCACTTCACCTTTGAACAAACCTTAGGTGTTATTCCATTATTACACAGGGGTAGAGGGGTCAGATAGGAATGAGCTTAACTGGACAATCACCATCAGTTATATTGTATTAAGTATATAAATTAATGTTTTAAAACTAAACACATTGTTTAATATAAAATACTATAATAATATTGATAATAATATAATCAGCACAATGAAAAACCACAAAATGTACAACCATGTATGCAAGGTCACAGACGTATAACAAATGGGACAGTTGGATGATTATTTTACCAGAGGTCACCCAAAGGTTGATTTTTTTGTAATGCTGACCTCTACCACAATTCATACGACCATAGATGTCATGCATTAGCATGTTAGCATTTTTGTTAAAAAAATCAATTTTTTTTTCTAATTTGCTGGAACAATAAAATTTGCATGTATGCAATAAAAAAAACATGTTGTCATACTCAAAAAACAACCTCTATCTTCAAGTTCTCAGAAAAACAACCAGTTTAAAGTACTGGTATCTAATCTAAAGTTGCCTAGATATACAGGTCCACTGGTACATGTCAATAAACTAAGCTACACATACAGTCTAACAGCTGACATAATTGAAGTGCGCCCTCACACATCGCATTTCAGATCAAACACAGAAAAAAAGACCATTGGCTAAGAACAACCATACAATTTGAGGGCTTACAAACACCGATAGGAGAATTGGTGGTATGAGTTTTACTATAGTTTATCATATACGAGTAAGATGGTGTACCCTTACACATTGTTATCAGAATACACTATTAATTTTATTAAATTTTTCTAGAAACTAGCTGAAGTATGTAGTAGTGATGATGAAAATGAACTTTATACTTTTTTTTGTTAATTTTTTAAAAACTTTTTATACTTTATAATCTATAACTGTATTTAATTATTCAAAGAAAGCGCTATACGAACATGCTTAAAACAGTGGTAAAAATTGACAACACAAAGTGTTATGATGACTAAATTTACATATTTGTATTTTAAATAATTAATAAATCACACAGGCAAGTATGAAATAATTTTAGAACATCTTTAGATGCGCAATCATCTACATTTTACTGGATGTCAAAACATTGGTCACAAAAGATTTCACGATTATTAAAACAATCAATGCAACAACTCCGCAAGTATTCAATATGCAAATGATTTCAAATTCTGACATCAAAATGTCCAATCACATTGAGTACTACTCGGCAATCAATTTTTTCAGAGATTGTAGATGTAGTATATGGACAATACATTGTCAACTATTTTGGATTAATTTATGCATTCTGAAGATTTGGCTACCTGTAAATCTGAAAAAACTTATTTTGGTAAAAATAATACCATAGTCTCTGTTTGAATTAGGGGGAATGTTATTTATACCAAAAAGAAAGTAATATGGACCAAAAGCATAGTTACTGTAAAATGACTAATATTCACTGGGTTGCTGATTTACCATTTCAGGCATATTCACGGTTTTATCATTTAGATAATGTGTTCTATGCTAAATTTCCCATATTCACTGGGTTTTAATTTACCACATTTTCCAGTTAGCGAAATAAGCAAAATTAAAACCCAGTGAATATTTAATCCTTTTACAGTAGTAAATGAAAGTGAATAAGATAATTAGCTGGTCTAGTATAAACAGAAATTAGATATATTAAATTACCCTTCCAAAATCAAAATAAATGGAGGGAAATTAAACAGGATATGCTATTACTGTAAAATCTGCAACAGAGGGGATGCGGCTTCTATTAGAGCATCTACACATATGCGTCTTGCGTTCTATGTATAGTAATGTTAAGTCTTGTGTCAAATCTGAATCTAATCTTTCAAGTTCCTTTGAATGTCCGATAGGGGTCAGACAAGGATGTATGTTA